AAAAAAAAAAAAGTAACGTTAATTGGTTTTGAATAGACTGATATCTGTTTCAGTTACTTGAGCTAGACTTTAGATATCACCTTATATCTATTTGCTGAGGAGAAAGAAAGAAGATCTAATTTTTTTTTTTTTTTTTTTATAGAGACTTATACTGTGATCGGTTAGGTATCACTACTAATGCTTAACAATTGTTTCAGCCAATGCCTTCTAGTTCAACGGAATTTTCATTGCCACAAAATGTTCCACATGCCGATGTTCCAAGGTTTATTTTTCTTTTTTTTAATTGAGTTTGACTTTCTTTCTGAATTGAAATTTAAGTTTTAGTAAAAAAAAAAAAATTAGAGTTTTTTTATTCATAAATTTACCTGTTAAAGTGTTACAGATTTTACTTCCCAGCTGGTAAACCAGTGCCGATGAACGATAATGAAGCAGCGTTACGGCGAGTAAACGAAGTGTTTAATCGTAATGGCGGCCGGGTAATATGCTAAAATTTTTCTAGGCTAACTGCTAAAATTGTTAGCTTCGAAAGAAAAGAAAAAACACAGACTAATTGAGCTAAAGTGTGCAAAAATTAAAAAATTTTTAACAAAAATCTAACAACGGCAATTTGTTTGAGTGGATAACTAAAAAGTTTACAGATTGAAATGATTAACATGGGTGATGTCTGCAAAGCTGCAGGCATTCCAATTTACTGGAAACGTGCGGTTTATGATTCCTGTTGCGGTCTTCAACCACGACCTATTGGTTTAGCCGATTTTGCGTGTTGGTGGAAGAGGTTTAAAAATTTTTTTTAGCTTAATTAATTAAACAAACATTTTATTTGTATATTTGATGTTAGCAAAGTGAAGTTTTGTTGTTTTTTTTAATGAATAGATAAGAATTGCTGAAGTGCTAATGATGTGATAACACTGTGTGGACATCATAAACAAGCCACCGGTTTTAGAATGACTGCAACAGCTCATGATGAAGCGTCAAGGTTCATTTATACGCTGGCGGGACCCAGGCGTAATTATGTTACGAAAGAAGATTTTGCGCCAATCCTTCAAGATCTCATCGAGAGCTTCCCCGGTTTACACTTTTTACGGGAAGCTCAAGAATTTCACTCCAGATTTGTGGAAACAGTAATTTCTTTTGTTCTCTTTTTCTTTCCTTTTGTGGATTTATAGTTGCTGTATAATTGTATAAACAACATTGCTTTGGAAAAGCAGAGTTATTTTGAAAACCTTTTGAAGGTTACAGTAAGGATTTTTTGGTCGGTTAACAGATCTTGGACCGGAAGAATTACTGCTAATGAACTTCGACGTTCGAATTTTTTAGAGGTAAGAATTAAT